CCAGCCGCCGCGCGAGGACCCCCGTGTAGAGCTTGTAGATGGCTTGCTGGAGGCAAATGGGCCTCCAGTTCGCCGGGTCCTCGCGCGCGCCCTTCTTGTGCAGCAGCCGCACCACCCCGAGCTTCCAGCTCTGGGGCACACGTTTCGCCTCCCAGCACTTCTGGAAGGCGGTGGCGAGCACGGGCAGGAGCTGCGCGGCGAAGTGCTGGTACACGTCATAGCCGACGCCATCGAGGCCGGGGCTGGAGGTGCCGTGGGCGTGCTGCAGCTGTGACTCGATATCGTCCTGTGTCGGCGCCTCCGTGAGCAGCTCCCTGAACCTCGACGCGGCAGGCAGGTGGGTCATAGCGGAGCGGAAGGCAGCACCCGCCGGGGCGTCCGGAGCGAACTCCTGGCTGGGTGTGTTGACGCCGTCGAAGTACCGCCAGAGCTCATCGCCCGGAATGGGGCAGGTACCGTCGTCTGTGGCGCCTGCCGCTGGCGCCGCTAGGTCCGATGCGGTGCCGGCGCTGGAGGCCGCTGTCCTTGGCGTCTCCTGCTGCGCGCGTGCCTTGGCCAGGATGTCTTCGACGCAGGCTTTCTCGTCCGTGTCGAACCGGTGACGCAGGTGCTGTTGGTCGATGGCCGAGTTGACGCGGCCGACGCGGCGGCGGGCTCGGCGAACAGCCGTGCGGTCTCCGGGCGAAGCCTGCTCCACGGCGTGGAGGTCGTCCAAGGCCTCGTCGAGGCGGTGCTCGCGGTGGTGTCGAGTCACCCGCGGCGGGCGGCGGCGACGTCGCCGCTTCGCTGCACCAGAGCGCCCGCGGCGCCTGCACTGCCTCCGTCGCGCCGAGTCCTGCTGACTGGCGTCGCCATCGCGCTCGTTGTCTCCATGTGCATCGCCTTCCAGGCTGCGGCGGTCCTGCCCTTGGTCGTGCAGCGGGCGCTGCCGTCGCTGTTCGCCTTGTTGCCGCTGCTGCCGCGGGCATTGGCTGCCTTGGTGCTGCTGTCGCTGACGCTGGGGACGCGGCTCGGGGCGTCGCTGGGCCTGGGAGTACGGCTGCAATTTGTCGTACAGGAGGTGCGGGAGGGCTGTGATGTAGCCCTCCGCCGACTCCCAGTCACTGGCGTCAGTGATCTTGGCCGCCAGCGTCGCGCCAAGCCGCTCCACCATCTCGCGGGCAGCGTCGTCCTCAGCTTCGGTGAGCTGGCGTAGTCGGAGGCGGGGTCGACGCTGCGGAACTGCGTCCGGCCCGATGCGCATGGCTGCATAGACCTCGCCGTCGTCGATGTCGGCGAGATCCTCGTCCTCCGGCTCCTGCATCTCGATGTTGGTGTCGGCCGCGGGTGTCGGGGGCGGAGCGCGGGGTGTCGGCTGGGGCGGCAGCACGGGCATAGGGTCCAGCGTCGTGTTCGTACAGCCGTCGCCTGCCGTGTGAGCGCCGCACTCCATCATCGTCCGGCGGAGGTCGAGGGCTCGATTGGCCAGGCGGTCGGCATGGGCATTCGCTTGGCGGTCGATGTGGTGGAGTGAGAAGCTCCCCACCCGCGCGAGCTCTACCTTGACTTGGTCGCGGAGGCGGCGTAGAACGGCGTTCCTCGCCGCGAAGATGCCGCGCACCTGCTGGATCACAAGGGTGCTGTCGCCTTCCACCCGCAGCGACGTCGCTCCGTGGTCGGCAGCGGCTCTCGACCCGAGCAGCAGCGCCGAGTACTCGGCAGTGTTGTTCGTTTCGCTGCTGCTCGGCATGTGGTGGGAGCACGTCCACACCACGGAGCCGTCGGGCTTGAACAGCGCTGCACCAGCTCCGCCGGGTCCTGGGTTGGCGCGGCAGGCGCCGTCGAAGCGCAGCAGCCACTCTCCGGCGGTGCCGCTGTCCACGTCCATCGCCGCCGCTGTCGCCGTCCGGTCGGGTGCGGCCGCCGGGTTGTCCTCCTGGTTTGCGTCCCTGGCCGTCAGGTCGGCTCCGTCCGCCGAGGTGTCCTCCTTGGTCTCGCCGGCAGCCGTCGGCTCTGGTGGGAGCAGGCGGGCGGCGATCCGAGACGCCACCACGCGGCGTGGCAGCGGTGGGCCCCAGCGAGGCGCTGGAACCTCACCGAGACGCGCAGCGATGCGGGTGGCCACCAGCTCTCGGGGCAGCGGAGGTTCCCAGCGTGGTGCTGGAATGGCACCAAGGCGCGCGGCGACACGTTCAGCGACCAGAGCTCGGGGTAGCGCTGGCCCCCATCGTCCATGGCTCGGCTGCTCCTGCACTTCAACAACTTCAACTTCGGGATGAGTGGGGCTCGCAAGCGGGGGGGACGCTGCGAGCTCCGGGGTTGCTGGTTGGGGCGAGTCGGGCGTGACAGTGGCCGCCGCGACGGTGGCGTTGGCTGCGGCAGCGGTGGGGCTTGATGTCCCTGCCACTGGCGGAGCCGTAGCCGGAGGTGCAGTCGAACGGCCGGCGCACGCTTGCGCGTGCTTAGCTGCCGCTGGCCGCGACGCAAAGGGGGTGCCGCACGCGCAGCCCGCCAGAAACTTGTCCTGGAAGACTGCGCGCCGGTGCCGAGTGGTCCGATGCCTCTGCAGGGAGCTGAAGCTGGCTGCCGTGAACGTGCACAGCGTGCACGTGAAGCGCTCCGCGTTGTGCACGTACACGGCGAGGACGGGAGCTTGGCGGGCGCTTGCTGCTGGTGGCGTGTGCACCGGGGTTTGGTTCTCGGCTCCGTCCTCGTCCACGAGCTGCAGGTGCTCGGCCGGCTTCTGGGCGTCGGCGTCGTCGTCGCTGTTGAGGCGGCGGCGCTTGCCGTCCGGGCGTCGCTCGCTGGGCCGGCGAGGCGATGGGCGGCGCTGCCTGGGCCGGACGCGGCCTTGGTCAACGTCCATGGGCTCTGCGGGGGAAGGCGCCGCCTGCGAGGCGCGCTGTGCGCAGGCGAGGGCATGGCTCGTCGCCGCCA